AGGAATGCAAATTATTGTAATTGTTATTAGGACACTGAAATTTAGTGATGCTTTAATTTTTCCTATAATATTTCATATACACTTGGCTTTCTTATTGTTTTTTTAAATTCTGTATGCTTGTTTGGTAATGTTATTCAAACAAATAATGAATAATGGAAATAAACACTTCAGCACCAGTAAAATGAAATGTTCACATGATCACAGCTGACAGGTTAATAGGGTAGGCCCCCATGAAAATGAAATATATGAAGCTTTAGTCATAAACTAAATCTTTGAATTTATTATTCAGTTTATGTTACTTTCTTTTTTAATATTACAGGTGCCTTGTATGGAACAAAAACAAGGGGGGGGATACACATATAAATGTTAAATTAGTGCTCAAAGCATATCACATATATTTGTATCATGGATCTAATTACTCAGAGTGATGGTGGTCTCCCCTTCATTAAAATTGTTCACGTAGAGGCTAGACAGCCATCTGAGATACTTTACTTTGGATTACTGCATTAAAAAGAGTTTCGCGTAATGGTCTAAATGGCTTTCTCAAACTGTTCTGTCAGAAAGACTTAGAGAAGCTCAGTCATTGATTTAAAATAAAAGTGACAATTTAAAAAAAGTTAAAAAAAACAAGTTTGGAAAAATATTTTGTTGGATTTTTTTTTTTTAAAAAAAAAAAAGCTAACTAAACTCTGCAAGCTGGAGTGAAGTTGCCGCATGCCTAGAATAGATTCAAAGATATTTAGTCACAAATTAAAGTGTCCTTTATTCAACCTGGAAGCATACTATTCAGATATAACCTATTAATTTAGTAAATAAGACACTAAGAATAATTGCCCCAAGTAGATATTAAATCTTGTATTACTATGTATTGATGATCTTCTATTCAGTAAATATTCTATCTCAAATGAAATATCATACATTTTCCAGGCTACAATTAATTCATTAAAATAAACGATTAAACAAACTATAAACTTGATTTGACAATCAAATCTCAAATCAAATATTAATTAAAATCAATAAGTAATTATGTTGGCTCAATCAGCAAATTGATGAAATAAAGTTAAAATAGATGTGTTTTGGAAAATGGGATATGCTAAAAGCCCACTTTTTGCCAGTTATATTGCATACAAATCAAATAAATTTTAATGCAATAGTCATGCATGAGTAAATTAATAAATTTAAGTTTGTGTATGCTTTTTTTCTTTCCTTAGGATTTATATTTTCAAATTGTTTTAATAGGGGAAAGTATCTTTTTAATTAAATATCTTATCTTTAGCTTTCTTTTCTATAAAAGTCTGTCATAAAGAAAACAAAATTAATATATTATTTGTCTTTTTGTTTAATTTTATCCTGACTTTAGTCAAGGTAATAAAAACTTCATTTTTCTTCCTAATGGTGGCAATCTTATGATATGAATGATCTAAAGCAGGGATCCCCAACCTTTTCGACGCCGCGGCCCGGTTCCGGCGTCAGCTGGGCGCCGCGGCCCGGTTCTGGCGTCAGCTGGGCGCCGCCATCTTTTTTGACGAAAAATTGTTTTTTTACCAAAAAAAGATGGCGGCGCCCAGCAACCAGCGGCCCGGTAAGGCTTGTTCCGCGGACCGGTACCGGTCCGCGGACCGGCGGTTGGGGACCCCTGATCTAAAGCATGTTTTGTGGGGTGAGAATTTGGCATTGGGAAGGGGGACTTGTGCATTTTCTAAGAGATTTTTTTGTGAGAAAACCAAACTGAAGAGATGCATATGTGTGTGCACACTCACTTTCAGTTTGTATCTTCTGTATCAAAATCCACAACTGCATAAACTTAATCCACAACAATACAACCAAAATTCCAATGGTCCAATGCAAATAATTGGATGTTTCCCTTATTGTATATGATGCAGTTTTCATATGCCCTTTTCTATCTCAGGAGTCTGGTCTTTGGAGGAGATGGTCTTATCATAACAAGGTCTAGGCTAGTGAGAAAGAATAAATCATTGGCAGCGTGGAGCAAAACAAAGGCACTTTCTTTCTCCTTCAGAATATCATCATATGAAGCGGGTGCTAAAGTTGGAAAATAATTCGAGTAAGATGCAGAAACTATTCCTCCCTCGCATATTTGTGATGGAGAAGGAACAACCTAGACTTATATATTTTAGACTTTAAACTTAAACCTGGACTTTAAATATATTAAATATATAAAGAAAAAAAATCCTCCAAATAAAATTTAATGTCTGGTGGCAAAATTGGGTCATAGTGACCCTACTTTAGCCTTGTTAGAAGAAAGAGTTGGAGAACATCCTTGTTTTTTGCTTTACTTGAGGACTGACAAGCAAACATACCAATCAGGATTGCAGTTAACAATGTGATTCATGCTACTCAAATCACTTGATGGAAACTCTTTCAAAATGGCTATTCCAGAAACAGTATCTAATGAAGAAAGGATAAGCGTCTGAAAAGAAAAATAGCCTGAAGAAAGGAAAATGCCTTTGAACATTGGCAGCCCTGGAGAGAACAGAGGCTTTTGAACATTGGCAAAGTAGTGTTGCTGCACTCATTACACAGTTGCCGTCTCACTGATTACACATTGGAGAAGGAACCTGCCTTCCAGGCAGGTCCAGTAGTTTCCACCAAGTCCTTTGCTGGTGCTTCCATTTCTATTGGTTAAATACTGAGGCAAAGAAAGTTTAACTGAATTATTCAAAAACCTCATTAGTAAATACCATTAAACTAAATACCATTAACATACTACTATGGTAAGCTTTAAAATGAAAGTGTAAGCACTTATAGAACCAGAACTAATCATACACAGTTCCTAATGCAGTGCCTTGTGTATAGGAGCAACAACCAATATATTCCTGCTAAAACTATCTTTATGTCCAGTTGATTTAAACTGGGAGAAACAGGCAAGAGGTGAGGGAATCATATAATATATATGCTTAAAAGAACTGAGGAAACCAGTATTCATTCTGTGAACTTTTGTTCAAGTAACTATTATTATTTTCTGTTACTTAATGAATCTAAACAAGCCTGAACAAGACAAGTTTATATTGTGGTAAAATATTAACTGCCAGGCTAATCTAGTCAGCCTGTTTTGGCCTTGGTTTTCTGCTTCATTAAACTTCACTGAAGGTTACTTACAGTACTAAATGTATATATTGGTCAGTGTTCCAGACTTCATGCAATATTCCAGTAATTTACAATGTAAAAAAGAAAAGAAATAGTACTAGAATATCCAATTAATACTACCAGCAACTAAAAGAGAAAAACAAATTTAATACCAAAACTTATTTGAAAATCATTTTTAAAATAAAATTGTTCAGTGTTATCCATAGTATTCTCAAGAGTCTTCTCCAATACCAAAGTTCAAATTATCAGTACTCTTTCATCAATTACAATGAATTACAACTTTTTTGGGGCAGATTGTTCTGGAAAAATCTACGTGATTACTAAATATCAACGTTGATTTGATGGCTCATAATCATCATGATAAGCTATATCTCATGAATGTATAAAATGTCAACCTAGTAAGGGTTGGCACCCAAATAAATGTATGATTCTGCCACAACTCAATACAATTGTATAATTGTATTGAGCTTATTTTTGAACAATGGATGCCGTATGAAAGCTTCCATCTTTAAGTAGAAGACACTGTTACAGATCAATACAGAAAACTTGACTTTAGAGGCTAGTTGGTATATGTATTTGTATACATATACAGCTTCACTGCAACCTTGCTACACAAGCCTCATCTCTTTCATACGTATGTAATTAAGTTGTCTTAAAAGAAAGAGTTTGTGTTATGACATTGCTTTCGTTCTGATGAAATCAAGAGTTTGTGTTATGGCATTGCTTTCATTCTGATGAAATCAACAAAAGCTTTCAAGTGCTTTTCCCTGGAAGACCTTTCTTCTTCAGTGGCAAATAGCCACTCCTGAAATTGTGGTCACAACTGAGCCCCAAATTTCTGTTGCTAAGCAAGACAGTTTAAGTGAGTATTGCCTCATTTTATAACATCTCTTACCATAATTGTTGAATGAAACACTGCAGTTGTTAAGTTGATAAGACCCATGGTGGCACAGTGATTAAATTGCAGTATTGTGCAAGCTAACTGCTGACTGTCAGGGGTTCAATTCTCCCAGGCTTAAGGTTGACCCATCCTTCCATCCTTCCAAGGTCAGTAAAATGAGGACCCAAATTATTGGGGGCAATATGCTGACTGTAAACTGCTTAGGGACGATTGTAAAACACTGTGAAATGGTATATAAGTAAATGCAAGTGCTAATAGTACAATTGTTAACCTGGCTTCACCAATGACTTTGTCACAGGGTCATAAAAGATGATCATGTGACACTGCAATAGTCATAAATATGAGTCAGTTACCAAGCACCTGAATTTGATCACATGACCATGGGGATGCTGCAATGGTTGTAGGTGTGAAAAATAGTAATATCTCACTTTTTTCAATGCCGTTGTAACTTCGAATGGTCACTAAAGGAATTGTTCTAAGTCAAGGACTACTGATATTAGATTTTCTGCCTAATTTTTAAAAAAATATTTTAAGAAATGCAGTAGACCCACAATTAGCTGCCAGACATGGTGTTAATTTTTCCTCCTATCATAAAGCTACAGATTGCCATTCTGAACATGCAAGAAAGCACTTCCTGAAAATGTTGCCTGCAATATGAAATGCTCTCACCACTGAAATCCATTTTAAGTACTTGTTGAAGACCTATTTGTACACCCCTGTCTTTCCTAGATTCATTGACTTATCAATAAGATGCTGCCTGACTTCCAACAAGATGGAACATTTTTTGTTCCCTCTTTTTAAAATGAACATTATTTTGTTTCAATTATTTTAATTTACTGTTAATATTCTGACTTTTAACAACATGAAACATTTTTGTTCCCTCTTTTTATTATTTTTAATAAAAATAATATCTTAATATTATTTTAATATTTTGATTGAGGTATACCTTTGAGATTTGCTATAATAGGAAACAATATACAAATAATAATAGTAATAATAGTAATAATATCCTGCCACCAAACAGGAAGTAATGCTGCTTTCCTCCCCCTACCCCCCATTCCTGATCCTGCCTTTCTGCCACCAACCCAGGCACCTACCATCACTAATGATGAGAAGAAATCAACAAAATTCTACACTGGATCGGTCATTGACCAGGTCAACAAGGACCATGTCAGATGTATGGTTCCTGGACATCTGCCAAACAATGGGCTACAGGACTCAGTTGCTACTACTGGGGAACCATGGCGTGCAATTGTAAAATGACTGGGACAAAAGCGCAAAACTGGGACAACCAAAGAAAATTGAGAAATCATCAAATATTACCATCAGGCAGAACCAACAGCAATGGGATTTCAAAAAAGAATGATGCAACTGTGACAGTGTATATCTAAGTTGTTTAGCAAAAATACTGAAAGAAAAGATTGAAAACCACATCAAAGAAAACATAGAAAGAAAAAGACTACCTACCATTTGCTTTGGCAAATGAGTGAAAGATCTGTTAACTTCCATGAACAACATTTTAACTTCCATCCCATCCAGCACACTATATGAAATCAACCAACTAATGTATAGCACAGCCGTCATTATAACTGCAGAACTGGGTTATAAAATGCCAAAAAAGAAACCCACTGGAACACCAAAATGGAAAATTCGACTTGAATATAAAATTAAAAAAAACTATGAGGGGGTGTCAGCAAGTTAAAGAACTTGAAAGAAGGAAATCTAAAGAACAAAAAGCTGAAAAATAGTACATACAAAATAATACAACCTGGAGGAAAAAAACAATAATGGAAATCACTTAGTTCTTTTAAAAGAACTAAAACAATGTGTAATAGCAACAGTACAGAAAATTGAAAGATTCTAAGGATGAATAAAACAATATAATGAAAATGTCCAGTTCAGAAGAAACCAATACCTCTTCTACTATGAAAATCAAGTCCAAACTAATGTTCACCCATGTAAACAAAAAACTTTGAATTTCGGAAAGAACTGTGGGAAAACCTAGTGGAATACAACCAAACTGCCTCCTGGATCAAAGATATTCAACAACAAACAACATGAAACAAAATGGAAAATATTGTAATAACAACTGACATCATTGCAAAACAAACAAAGAAGGTCAAGAACTAGATTGCACTCCAACTAGATCTGGACGAACTGCATGGATACTGCTAAAACACCTGACCAGTCTCCATCATTGCATGGCCATTCAATTTAATGAAATGCTTCAAAATGCAGCAAGCAAAGAATGGTTAACAGTTGGCTGAACATACTTGATAATGAACGATCCAGAAAAGAGCACAGAACCAAGCAACTACTGCCCAATTACTTGTCTGCAAACAACATTCAAACTTTTTACAAGAATACTGGCAAATTCAATATTAAATGATCTGAGAGAAAACAGCTTATATCCGGTAGAACAAAAAGGAAATTATAAAAAATCAAGAGGAACAAAAGATCAGCTGCTCATTGACAAGATGGCACTAAAAAATGCAAGACAAAGAAAAACAAATTTGAATATGGTATGGATCAATTGCAAGAAGGCATTTGACTCACTACCCCACAGCTGGATTAATGCCAGTCTGGAAAACTTTGGAATCAGCAAAAATATTTGTACATTTTTGAAAGCAAACATGCAAAAATGGAAAACAATTCTAACAGCAAATGGGGAGAACATTGGTGAAGTCAACATCAGAAGAGGAATCTTCCAAGGGGACTCATTTTCACCACTACTGTTCAACATCGCATTAATTCCACTGACAATAATCCCACAAAACACAAAATTGGGATGCCAAATCTCAAGCCAACATAACAAGATAAACCATCTACTATACATGGATGACTTAAAAATGTATGCAAACAGTCCCACAGAACTTGAATCAATACTCAACACAGTCCAACTGTTTAGCAATGACATCAGAATAAACTTTGGACTTGAAAAATGTGCCATATTATCCATGCAGCAAGGAAAAAATAGAAGGAATAGAACTGGGAAATGGAAGCATTGTGAAAGCATTAGCAAAAGATGATGGTTACAAATACCTAGGCATATTGGAAGCAGATAACATCTTGAATGGAAAAGTCAAAGAGTCAACGCAAAAGGGATACATTAGGAGGGTCTGCCAAATATTAAAATCAAAATTGAATGCTGGAAACATAATTAAAGCCATCAATACATGGGCAGTTCCAGTGATGTGTTACCCAGCTGGAATCATCAACTGGACTTTGGCTAAACTGGAAAATTTGGACCGGAAAATATGTAAACTTTTGAATGTGTATCACGCTTTACATCCACAGTGATGTCGACAGGCTATACCTGCCAAGAAGAATCGGGGGTAGAGAGCTATTGCAAGTCCATCAAACTGGAGAAGAAGAAAAAGCAAACTTTGTGAACCAAGTACAGAAAAATTGCTGCAGGCTGTGAAAATGGAGAACATTATTAAAACAACAGAAACAAAGGCAGAAAAACGGAAAAACAGCTAGATGACAGATTAAATAGATGGAAAACCAAAGCTTTGCATAGACAGCATTTGAAAAACATTGAAGGAAAATGTGATGACAACTTGACATGGGCATGGCTTAATATGGGAACCATCAAGAAAGAAATGGAAGGTTTACTACTTGCTGCTCAAGAACAAGCACTACAAACTATAGTTGAAAGCGAAGATACAAAAATCCACCGACAATCCAAACTGTCGACTTTGCAATGACAAAGTTGAAACTGTTTCACATTTAATATGTGAGTGCTGCAAAATCATACAAACTGATTACAAAGCTAGACATGACCAAGTTGCTAAATTAATCCACTGGGCATTATGTAAAAAATATGACTTACCTGTATCTGAAAAGTTATGGGAACACTACATAGAAAAAATTGTCAAAAATGAGAAGATGAAGATCTTGTAGGACTTTCCTATACAGATGGAGCAGCATCAACAACATGCCCAATATCACAGTCATCAAAAACCAAAGTGTACGATTTATTGATATCGCTATACCAGGAGATGCCAGAGTCGAAGAAAAAGAACTAGAAAAAATCATGAAATATTGCAACCTGGTCATCGAAACTACCCAATTGTGGAAGAAACCTGTGACAGTGATACCTATGGTCATCGGGGCATTTGGCACCATGTCCAAGAATTTTACACAATACATCAAGAAATTGCAGCTTCCTGCAATAATCCCAGCAGAACTGCAAAAAACTGCACTACTCGGAACATCATATATTTTAAGAAAATACTTGGTCGATACCTAGGATGCTGGCAGCAACCCCTATCAACCATCAGTGCCAATTAATAATATTTGTGATGCATTTTTAAATGTTGAGTTGACTGAGTTTCATGTTTAATGAATAAAGTATATAATAGCTATTGTTTTATTCAAGAAAGCTGAGCCATAAAATCAAAAAGCACATTCTCTTCCAGTCCCTGTTCTTCCATATTCATTGTTCCATTCAGATTAACATCATAGGTTCAAGAACTATAAGGTACAAGGAGTTTTTACATATCAACTCTCTTCATCATATCCCTAGACACTGGAGCATAGCTAATGAAATGACATAAGCTTCCTGAGTGATATACCTATTTCCTCATTCAAGTATAATTAACAGTAGGCTTCTTTGTTCTATGAAGATCAATGACTAATTGGGAAAGGAAAAACTAATTCTAACTTTATGTTATCATGGAAGAAAGAGTTTAATGGAGGTGTAAAAGTCAAAAGTGGTGAGCAAGTTGAGAAGGAGATAATTTGTTTTAAAGTGTCTTTAGTCTTACTTCAGTTACCTTGATTAGCTACAATTTAAAATATAATTAACTTTCTGTGAAATGTGGCACTATTACCATTTTCACACTAATGTCAGATGGTAGCCTTAAATAACTTCATAAATTGAATTTAAGTGGAAAGAAGCTATCTATAGATAGGTCTATCTATAGATTTACTTTCAAATGTGTGAAGACAGTACAGATGCATTTGAAGACTTCCTGATGGACTATTGTCCCAAATTCCTGGCTTGGAAGGCATAATTCCATGACAATTATCCATCTTTTGGATATCAGCTAGTTTTGTTACATATTTGAGAACCATGTTTTAAGACTCAGTTGTAAATGTCTGAAGCATTGTTTGCATTTTAATTATGAAATAAATGTGTACTATATATCATGGTGGTTATTTATAGAATACATAATTCTAACAGAACAGTAACAGAGTAACAAAGTTGGAAGGGATTTTGGAGGTCTTACCATTTCAGACAAAGATGTCCAATGTCTTCTTAAAGTTTTTAAAAACCTCCAGTGTTGAAGCACCCACAACTTCTGGAGGCAAATTGTACCACAGATTAATTGTTCTAACTGTCTGGAAATTTGCCCTTAGTTCTAAGTTGCATCTCTCCTTGATTAGTTTCCATCCGTTGCTATTTCCATCCAGTGATTACTTTCCATCCATAATTCTACTAGTACAGCTATAAGGGAAAGCTATAAAGATGATAACAATTGACTTGTTCAGCATCTAGAACCACAACAATTAAAGTTATAGTAATTTTTGGAACCCCATCTAGTAACCCTACTGCAACAATACAAATGGATTTTTCTGGAATCAACAACCCATCAGAAAGCAATTTAACAATCTTTGTGGTAGATCATGATTAATATGATCTATTTAAATGTATCTTTTTGGCTAATCTCAATTCAGGAAAAAATACTGCTGTGAAAAAGACCTTAAAGTTTTTGTTTCTTTTCCCATTTTTGATTTTTTTAAATCAATTATCTTGTCACTGAGATCTTTAATCGATTTTTAAACTTTATTGCATCCTGTTTTTGATAGAAAGGGAAAACAGCATGTTCACATTTACTGGAAAGATTACCAGGAATATACGGAAAGTCATTTGGTTCTCTGGTTCAAAAGGCAAAGAAGGAGAGAACATTTCCATTTATGGTGTAATCAGCTGCAGCTTATTTTGTGTTGATAATCTACTTCCTTGTCTTGCATCTTGGCTGCTAGTATAGTTT